GTTGAAGAATGTGGATCGTTTGCTGTTATCTCAGTCGGGCATGAGGCCCTTGTTGGCAGGGATGAAAAATGACTAGGACTTCGATTCTTTTATGAGCCAGAAATCTGAGCTCAATCAGGGAGGTGAATTACAACAAGGGGAGGTAATAATACTGCTGTATGTCCTTAGACTTATATCTCCAAGTTCATTTAGGAAACTAATAATTACATTCTGTTGAAAATTGGAAGGGAATCCAATTAAATCTTGGAAGAATTTTAGCCGCAAAAAGGAGAGTGGCCATTGGCCTCCCTCTTCCCTAGACTTTATCTTCCAAAAAAAAATGGGAAAAACATCAATAACCAATATTGGTTGAGATACGAGGTCTCAAGAAGCTTGATTTAAAGAGAAATCTGTTGGATGCTGAAATACAGGGGCAGCCTAACCTTTCAAAATTTGATAAGAAAAAAGAACGTGTTGATGAATCTAAAGGAGTCCAAAAACAGGAGGATAAGCAATCCAATCCACGGCTTAAGGGGTTTACAGAATGGGACCTCAATTATTCAAGGCACACTATGATTACAACAGAACGTTTTTAGGGTCACCAAGAGGAGCCCAGGATTTGTTTTTGAAGACTTTGTAGTTTCTCGCCACCTATAATTTCCACTGCAGCTTTGATAGAATTAGTGTAACCGTCCAAGCCCACCGCTAGAAGATATTGTCCTCTATGGGCTTTCCCTTTTGGGCTCCCCCTCAAGGTTTTAAAACGCATCCACTAGGGAGAGGTTTCTGCACCCTTATAAGGAATGATTCGTTCCCCTTTCCAACCGACGTGGGATCTCACAATCCACCCCATTGGGGGCCCAACGTCCTCGCTGGCACACCTCCCGGTGTCTGACTTTGATACCATTTGTAACAGTTCGAGCCTACCGCTAGCATATATTGTCCTCTTTGCTTTTCCCGTCCGGGCTTTCCCATAAGATTTTAAAACATGTTCACTAGGGAGAGGTTTCTACATTCCTATAAGGAATGCTTTGTTCCCTTCTCCAATTGATGTGAGATTTTACAATTAGACCAAAGAATTCCAGTTTCATGCCTTCGTGAGTTGGGCACTGAATGTTTTTAAAATTCACCAAGTCTCTCTTTAGTTTCTGCAATTTAGTGACTGATATTCTAGAGAGTCATGTATTGGTGTAATTTTATCTTTTCATTTTTTTTCCCCTTTCAATTCCACAGGTGCAAGAACATAACCATCCCCATATTCTACTTCTGCAAATAGGCAATACCTTTTGCAAGCTCCCTGGTGGCCGGTTGAAGCCAGGAGAAAATGGCAAGATTTTATATACAATTCAAGCCCCCCCCTCCATTGAGTAAAATCTCTCTCACGTTTGTTTTAACATCTGCAGAAATTGAAGGTTTAAAGAGGAAGCTGACGAGCAAACTGGGTGCAAATTCACCCGCTCTCCAGCCTGATTGGCAGGTTTGGATCATTTCTTCTATTTTCGCGTGCAAATCTATTTTCTGAAGTTATATATGTTCCTACTAGGAATTACATTCTTCATTGCAAATTTCCTGCAGATTGGTGAATGTGTGGCTACTTGGTGGAGACCAAACTTTGAAACTGTTATGTATCCTTACTGCCCCCCTCATATTACTAAAGCCAAGGTATATAAGCCTCTCTCAAACCCTCCCACCCCCACCCCCTATAGTGCTTGATGACATTTGTTTGTGGTAGCTTTGACCAAGGTTTAAAATGTTGATATCAATGAAAATTTTGACGTTTCATTTTATGAAAATGTTGATTGAAATATCGATCAAATGTCGATATTTGATTGATATTTCTGGAAAAAATTATAACAAAAAAAAAATTAAAAAAAAAGTGCATTAATAAATAACATTTTATTTTTTAAAAGAAGATAAAAGGCTCATTGTTTATCTTATATACATAGTATTCATAGTGATGTTTTGCTGCATTTTTGTTAATTTCATTTGAACTTGTGGACGTGCAAATGTCGACATTTGTATGGAAATTTAATACTTTGACTTTGACTTTGAATTGGAATTTGCTTTGCGCTTTGTTCGGCTTTCTTTGTGGTGGATTGTAGAAACTTCACATCATTAATTATTCAAGCTGATCTGATAGCCTCTTTATCCTCCCTCTTTTTGGGTTGGGGAAACGTCTGGTAGATATTTGTCCGGCCGTTACATATCGCCATCAGCCTCATAGTTTTAAAAGAGAGGTTTCCACACACTTATAAGAAATGTTGTTTCCCTCTCCAATCAATATGAGATCTCACAATCTACCCCCTTGGAGGGCCAGCGTCCTCGTTGACACAACGTCCAGTTTCTGGCTCTGATACCATTTGTAACAGTCAGACCCACTACTAGTAGATATTGTCCGCTTTGGGCCGTTACGTATCGCCATCAACCTCACGGTTTTAAAATGCGTCTACTTAGGAGAGGTTTCCACACTCTTATAAGATATACTTCGTTCCCCTCTCTAACCAATGTGGGATCTCACAATTTCCATTTTACTCCGATTAGCATTATGAAGGGAGTAGAAATCCTTTTCAGCCTTTTTCTTTTCTTAATTCTTGACTTATCGAATCCTTTTTTTTTATTCCATATGAAAAAAGTGAAAATCCTAATCAGGGTTTTGGATGATCCAGGAATGCAAAAAGCTCTTCATTGTTCACTTGTCTGAAAGAGAGTACTTCGCAGTTCCTAAAAATTTGAAGCTGCTTGCAGTTCCTTTGTTTGAGCTCTACGACAACGTGCAGGTAAGTTGCATTTTTCTTCGTATAAACGAGTTTCGTGCATATTAAATAATTGTTTAGCTTGTTGGGCAATGTCGAAAACCTGCTGAATTATAAGCAATTAGTAATTGATTTTCTTGATGCTGGATGAGGATGATACTGATAGTACCTGTAAATCCCATTAGTCTCAAACTATCATGCCATTTTTAAGCTAAATATTAGTTTTCGGTTTTCGCACTTGATTGCAGAGATACGGACCTGTTATATCGACGATCCCGCAGCAGCTTTCCAGGTTCCAGTTCAACATGATCACCACATGAGGTATCAATACAAGAACCCTGAAATTTGTAGCATGCATCATGGACTCCAATTTGCTTGAGATAGTTTGAACTTAGAGGACATTATCAACCTTGCTTGAGATAGATTAGTGTACTCGATAGACTTGTTGTTCTCGATGTTTTTCACCGATGTGTTTGTGAAGAAAACCCCGAGAAAAAGTTCATGTTTATTCTAACAATAGCGGAAAAAAGAATCGACCGAGTTCGTGTATCGATTTAACTTGATGAAAGTCCTAAAAGTGTAATGTATGTCTATTGAATCAATTGTAAAAGTGGTTAAATTGTGGAAACTTGGACATCCTCGGTTCTAACTTTCAAGTGAGAATCATAGCCTTGGCTCTCTGCATCTCTGGTTTAATGCTATTTTGAGCCATTTCTGGGGGATTCTTTCTGTTTGAATGAAAAAAATTTAAAATAAAAAATAAAATTTAGATAACTCTTTTGTTTTCCATTTATTTATTTATTTTTACCTATTTTTTTTATTAGTAAACTAAATAAAATTATTTTTTATTAAACTATGCCTAGATCTATTTATTTATTTATTGATGTTATTGATATTTATATACTTCATTATGGCTAATTAAATAGTCATTACTCATTAAAGAAAATCAGCCTTTGGTTACTTAATTGTAAGTAAATGGGTAATTATTTATTTTTGGTTTGTCTTAATAATGCTTTAAATAATTAGTAATTATTAATTAGTTTGTCCCTAATCAATCATTCAGCTATAAATGTTTTTAAGTCGTTTTAAATTAATAATAAAAATACACAATTATTCAGTTTTTATTTATTTATTTATTTATTTGAAGTTTTTTTGGGCTTTTGGTTATCAATTTTTTTTGGGTAAATAAAAATTTAATATGATGGGTAAAAATGGTATTTGTAAGTTAATTTTCAAAAACTGAAAATTCGAAATATGTTAGCTATCAATTAAATATAATTTTTTTTAAAACAAAAAAAAAATCATATATTTATCAAGACGACGTAAATGGTGAGTAAATGAGAAAATTACTACCGTTGGCTAATTTAGCACAAATAATGTTGCTGTATTATTGAGATAATTGATGAGACAATTACTAATGACTGATTATTAATTACTAATTACTAATTAGTAGTTAATTTGTCCCTAATTAACCTATAATAATGAAAAGATATTCATAAACTCTTTAATTTTAATAAGCACAAAATAAACTTGATCACCGTACATATTAGTTGTGAAATCCCACAACAGTTGGAGAAAAGAACATAATTTTTTTATAAGGGTGTGGAAACATCTCCCTAATAGACACGTTTTAAAGTTGTGAGGCTGATAACGATACATAACAAGCCAAAGTAGATAATATTGGTTTGCGGTGAACTTGAGCTACTACAAATTATATCAGAACTAAACACGAGGCGGTGTGCCAGTAAAGACGCTGGATTTCCAAGGGAATGAATTGTGAAACCTCACATCAGTGGGAGAGGAAGAGGACGTAGCATGCCAATAGACTGTTACGTTAGTTATTGAATTAATTGTATTTCACGTCTAATACGTTTATTAAATTAAAAGAAAAAGTTATATATATTCTTTTTTGATATATTAAATATAAAATTACACTTATTAAATAAAATTTCCCCCATAAACCACCGAGCTCATCATAATTCCAAAATGACCCCATAAGTCTCGTAAAATTGCACAACAGCCCCACAAGAGGAATGAGAATTATAAATCTAGGTGGACCCCATGTTCGGGGAAAGATATCCACGTTTGCGATGACCCGTCCATCTTCAACAATTGTGGTGACCAAACACTTATTGGGAGCGCGTGTATCACACGGACGAATAATCTTTCGCCACGTACCCGATTCCCTTGACACCACGCGCTCATTTCCCCCATGGCGTTTATTGCAGCTTCGCCTATAACTGAAAGCAAAGAAAGCATTTCCACTGCCAGTTTCAGTCTCACAAATCCCATTCGTTTCCCTCCCTTTTTTCCTGCAGATTCTTGAGCAAAATCCAAATGCGCCCATCTGAGGTATTCTTCATCACGTTGAATTTCTGTTTGGTTGCTGAGAAAATCTCAGCTAATTTTCCTTATTTTCTTTTATTCAGCAGACTATCGAAACTAAGCAATGTGGCTGTTCTTGAGTAATCGTGAGTTTCGAGATATTGATACTTTTGTCTGTTTATTAATATATATATATTTTTTGTTCTCTCTACTTGGACTGGATAATTACACAAATTTTGTTAGAGAAAACTATGTTTGTATTTGCTAAGAGTTTCTTGCCTCATTGTAATTTAGAATTGCAGAATTGCGTTCATAGTTTCGAATTTCAACGCTACAGAGCTCGCATGAAATCAAAGAAATGAGTGATTATGGTGTATTTAATCATAGATCGATTAAATGACGATCAGTAAACAACAATACTGTCGCATTAAACTATCACTCAACTAAAAGAGTTATGTTAGTTAGTTGAAGTACATGTTTAAATTTTTTGATTTTTGGTATTCTCAATGTTTATCCATGGACTACCAAATTGGATTTAAATTTCCAGACAACCAGGCAATGGAGAAGGATATTTCCTTGTATTTCTTTGCAAAGCTACATTATCTGATATCATTGTAGGCGCTTATCATTATCAAGATTCACTTCTTGGGTTGCCTCTCTCAATGGCATGCCATTATTTGTTGTCTCATTTTAGTGAAATCGTGTTACCTTTGGTTCTTGGGACAGGACATATTGAACAATGCCTTTTAGTGGTATTTGCCCTGTTATTCTGCTGAAATCAGCCACAAGAGCAGGAATATATCTAGTGGACTCTTGGATGTACTTGAAGTAGTATATTGACTATTCATGATGATGACAACCCTATCGTTTGCATCCGGAAGCGTTGGAAATAAACATTGCTGCTTGGAATTTTCTAGTTTGTATTTTGTTGAAGGTTTTTTGGCTGGCAAACTCCTTAGAAGTTCTTATAGAAGAGGGTATGGATTTTGGTTGGATGATCCAAAATTTCCCCGGATTAAGAGCAGGAACAGATTTTGTGTCACTGCAAAGGTTAAAAAGTGGAGGAAGCACGATTATCCTTGGCCGGATGATATGGATCCAAACATTAAAAGTGGTCATTTGACTCATTTGTCTAACTTCAAACCTCTGATAGAGAAACCAAAACCCATCACACTTCCATTTGAGAAGACTCTGGTTGATTTAGAGAAGAAGATTATTGAGGTAAATTACCTTCTATGAGTTTGAAAAAATTTCAGGAAATCTTCTGAACATTATTTTCATGAATTTAATATTTTTCAGCAATGTTTTGTCTCATTGAAGGAGCTTATTTAAAGCTTGGCAGAATACTATGCTAAATCACCTTCTTTTCCTTTTTCTTAATGTTATGCTTTGAAAAGCCTTGTGTGGTTCATAAATCACTCATATATGAAATGGAAATCTCTGGGTAGGGCATTATTTCAAGCTTTGGACATGAGATATCAGTCGAGCATAAACCATAACATAGAAGCTTCTCATAATATATTTTGTATTTAACTCTCTCTCTCTTTCAGATCCGTAATTTGGCTGATGAAACCGGTTTGGATTTCAGCGATCAAATTGGTATCCTCAAGAACAAGTATCAGATGGTATGTTTAGTTGTATTTCCCTGTATTATTTCGTTTGTCTGCTTATCCTGATGTCGTATTCTTTCTGTATTAAGTGTTTTTTCTGCTCTCTGTTCCAAGTCCAGGTTCTTAAAGATTTGTACACACATTTGACACCAATTCAGCGATTATCAATTGCACGACATCCCAATAGACCGACAGTTCTTGATCATATATTAAACATAACAGACAAGGTTCCTCACTAGACTTTTTACATCTTATTTATAGCAATTAATGTTAACTTTTTATCTTTTTGTTTCGATCAGTGGGTAGAACTCCATGGAGATCGTGCTGGGTATGATGATCCAGCAATTGTTACTGGCATTGGGAGCATTGAAGGTAAAAGCTACATGTTTATAGGGAATCAGAAAGGTAGGAATACCAAGGAGAACATTTCTCGGAACTTTGCAATGTCAACCTCTCATGGGTAAGCTTAAAGACTCCATAATCAAACCATCAATTAGGAGGGTTAGAATGAGTACAAAATGAAATATTTTGACTAGTCTTTCGCAATCAGAGAGAGTGACCTTGATAGCAAGAGTTTGGAGATACCCTCCGGTACTTTATGTTGTTTGAAACCGAAATACTGGTGAGGTGAAAATGTTCACTGGAAAGGCTCTCGAGTCAATATGAGCAATTTTTCTTTTTGTTTGGTAAATATTGGGTATGCTAACCAAAACCTGTCTAGAAAAACAGCTACCGGAAGGCTTTGCGAATGCTGAAATATGCGGATCATCATGGTTTGCCTGTTCTTACTTTTGTTGACACTCCTGGGGCATTTGCTGATCCAAAATCTGAGGAACTTGGACAAGTGGGTGACTCTTTTCATTTCAGCATGGAAATTGAACTTTGGTGTTGATTTGATAATATGGTATTGGCTCAACAATTATCTAATATTTGCAGGGTGATGCAATAGCCCAGAACATAAAAACCATGCTTGCACTAAAGGTCCCCTCTGTATCAGTGATAACTGGTGAAGGTGGTTCAGGAGGTGCTCTTGCCATTTCTTGTTCAAATAAAATTTTCATGATGGAGAATTCTGTTTTATATGTTGCAAGGTACGACAACTTTATTTCTTATACTAAAAAAAAAAACAAAAAAAAACAAAAAATCCATCCTCGAACTTATAGTTGCTCAAGACACTCGTTGAAGAACTGCTTGATAAAATTTTATAAGCCGACTTTCAGGTGTGTAGTTATGATACTCGATTTACATGTAAATGATGTTTGAGGTCTCACGTCTGCATTTATCCCTGCATTCAAGCGAACTTCCAGCACTTTTGATCCTTGTCAATAAGGAAGTAAACACTTAACATAACAGAACAAGATTTTCTCTTGTTATGTAATATTTGTAGCTCATACAATAAACTTGTTTCTTGTACCTGTCTTTCTTATCAGTCCTGAAGCCTGTGCTGCAATATTGTGGAAATCCTCCCAAGCAGCCCCCAAGGTATTTGATTGATTTGGTGATTGGGACGCATTTGAAAACAAGACTAGCCAGCTTGTCTAACTCAAAGTTTCTTACTCCCGTAGGCTACAGAGAAATTGAGAATCACAGCTCAAGAACATTATAGGCTCAAAATTGCTGATGGCATCATCCCTGTAAGTATTTTCTCTGTAAGTATTTTTAGCATTGTTAAAGCCGCACCATTTTCTTGCCTGGCATCATTTCCTTTCTAGATTATGACTGAACAAGAAGAGAAAAAAAAAAAAGAAAAAGAACTTTGTTGCCCAATTGGAACTTGCTCTTTGGTTTGACCCCACGAGGTTTCTTGTCTGCTATTGCTTATTTCTCTGTTCCTTTTCTTTTGTCCTCCTTATGAAACGAGTAAAACAATGTTTGTGCTGTGTTTGCGATTAGACAATAGATCATAAATGAAAGAAGGCGAAGTGGCACATTTCAAGCCCTTAGTCTAAGGATTTCTCATCATCTTATCTGATGGACTGGTTATCTTATACTTCATCTCATCTATCTAGGGTGGCTTACCTTGCTATCTCATCCATCAGTCTATTGATATTTGTTTCATTCAACCACTTATCTTGGCTTGACTAATTGTTTCAACTCAATGTTTGTGCCTGGGAGAGATGAAGCTTCAAGAAGAAATAGCATATACTATATTATTGATACACTAATTAATAAAACGACGAGATGACACAAGAACTATTAATTTACCCTACATTTTTATTATCAGTTCAGCTGATGCTATGGCTTCTACTGGACTTTGCTTATGTCATGTTAATAATTACTCCTCACAGGAGCCTCTAGGTGGTGCACATGCTGATCCTGTATGGACCTCCCAACAAATTAAGTCTGCAATAATCCAGGCAATGAAGGCAGGTATCCTTCTCATCTTCACATTTAGAACTGCAGAAATTGTAAACTTCATACTGGATCTTTCCTAATCTAATGTACCCATTGTTTTGAACAATGCTCTTATTCTAATACCCACAATGATCAATGATTTTGGACCCATTAATACTAATTATCATGTCCCTGAGTATTTGCTATCTAATGGACTCCTGGACTAGTATCTTGGGACAATCTGTGTTCCCCTTGCTTTTCACATTTAATGGTAGGAAAGCTCTTGTAAAATATTAGCAATAGTTGGCAAACATGAAGTTCGAACCCATAACCCCAAAGTCCCTTTGTGATCAGCCTACCCTTTAACCTCTAAGCTGGTTCATGATGGTTTTGAGTAATTCCTTGCGAAGGTTTGAAGTTCTTGGATCAAGCGATTGTCTTGCGTGTCAATTAGAAGTTTTCTTCCCATTCTTTTAGAAATGGAAGCAATTGAGATTATTGGAGATGTGCTGGCTATCTGGAGGATTGTTGGAAGGGAGTCCTATGTTAGTTAATTTAGGAAAGTCTGATAATATCATGCTATTGTGAAGAGTAGTTCCTAACATCTTCACGAGATTTTCATTTGTAACAACATCTTCGCCTAATAAAAGTTAAAATTGACTTTGCTCAGGAGTTGTCAAGCATGAGTACAGAAGAGCTGCTTCACCACAGAATGCTCAAATACCGACATATCGGCAGTTTTCAAGAAGGTGTTCCCATTGATCCACAGAGAAAACGCAAAATGAAGCCATCTCAAACCAGCATACCAAAGGCTGGTGACATACATTTAGAAATGGAGAAACTCAAGCAAGATGCTGACAAAGAGTTAACCAATGCATTCATCTCCATGGGCCTGCAAGAGAAGCTTGAATCACTCAAGCTAGAACTCTCTAAAGCGCCAAAGGGGTCGCCTAATCAACCACTCAGCGGAAACCTGAAGGAAAAAGCAGATAAAATCATGCAAGAATTCAAGCAGAACCTATCAAAGCCTGGTTCCTATATGGGTTTGAAACAGAAGCTTGAAAAGCTAGACATGGTAAACAAACTCATGGATCAAAAGAAGAAAAGCGAGGAACTTAAATCAGAGATCAACAACAAAATCCCATCTGAGACAAAAGCAAAACTGAAACAATTAAAGGATTCTTGGGACAATGCCATCTCTAATGGGGCCACAATGGACAGAGACCTGACAGAGAAGCTCGAAAGAATCAAGGCAGAGCTTTACCATATCTTAAAGTCAGCAAATTTAGAAGTCATCGGAGTGGCGAAAAGGACTGCCGCCGCCCCACCGGCGGAGGCGAGAGAGAAGGTGCAGCGTTTGAAAGAGGAGATCAATGGGGAGATTGAGAGGGCCATAGAAATGGAGGGGCTTCAGGGGAAGATTGAGGAACTGAAAGCGAAAATGGCGGATGGGTTGAATCTGGAAGAGGTTGAGAAGGTGGAGGCTGAGATAAAGGATAAGATCGTTGAAGCTTTGGAGGCATCTGGGTTGAAAGAGAAAGTGAAGAGCTTGAGAATGGAGGTGGCTTCATCCATGGCGGCCGGTGCAGAAAGTCATGGCTGCCGCTGATAATGGCAGGTTTTAGATAAATGCATAACTCAAGGTCGAGGGCAATTATGTAAATTATCGATACTTTGCTTTCCCTGATATAAACTACATAGAAGTTATTATATGGTTATTATGAAAGAGGAATGGAAAAGGTCTCCAAAGTATTGAATGAATAAAAATAAAATAAATAAATAAAATTTTCATTTTAATAGTTAAAGTTTGAAGTTTATTTAAAAAAAATACATGAATATTTTATTAGGTGATCTCGTAGTTCCTACATGGTGGAGATGAGCTTGGATTACGAGTGTTTTTCTTCCCGACCCACTTTGATTTTTGCTCTGTTAGCATATCCAATCCGAGATAGGAGATTATTTCGTTAGGTCTTTTTGTTCTAGAGTTGGTCGATAATGGATATACTTACCTTATTTGTGGACCATCAATTGAGCTAATCCTGGTTCTATCAACGAGCTGACCATGGTTCTTTATGTTTATCAAAGAACTTCGAGATGCTAATCCACAAAAACGATATGACATTTATAAATAAAAAAGTTTACGTTAGTCTGATAATAAATAGATCGAAAAAAAATAGAAAAATGAAACATTTTTTGAGTTTAAAATAGCTGTAAACATGGAAAAAATATATATATATATATTATAGTTCAAGAAAAAAAAATAATTTTACATTTGCGACACTTCTTCGAATGCCCCTGAAAAGAGGAGAAATGAACAAAAAAATTGACAGGAAACGGGAAAGAAATGAAAATAAAGGAAGAATTTTGTCCTTACATATAAAGAAAAAGTATAAGAGGGACTATTCTGCAAATTGTTAGACCCACTTCCTTGGTTGCCCTAGGAGCTCTCCAATAGTAACTCCCCGCTTCATCGTCTCTCTCTGCGAAACGACCGAAAACAACATTGACGAAAGAAACTCCGGCCGCTCTCATCTACGTTGAAACTGCCGCAGCTTCTAATATCAAAATCTTCACCTCATTGCTCTGTAAAATTTTCTATTGCTGCAATTTCTGCCATTTCTTGACCTAGATCTGTACAAATTTCTTGCATTTCCCCCCCTTCTTTTGTGTCAATTTCGGGTTCAGATTTGCCCTTTATCCGCCATGGGATTACGATAATTGGTGGATTTTTGGTCATGTATAAATTGTAGGCTTCGTTAGTGAACTTGAGCGAAACCCTTTTGTAGCCGATTATTGTCCTTTCTATCTTCTTGGTAGTTTTCGTTAGATTTCTTATTTGTTTTTGTCGTCATTCAATCAATCGATCGGAAACCCTAGCTCCCGTTTTTTTTATAACGTCGTTAGGGTCTCGAGTCTTGATCATTGTGTCTAGTGATGAACAATAGGGGAAGGTATCCACCTGGGATCGGCGCTGGACGGGGCGGAGGCGTGAATGCGAACCCTTCGTTTCAGTCGAGACCACACCAGCAGCAATACGTACAAAGAAATTTGGTGCCGAATCAGCAGTATCAACAACAGCACCATCAGAACCAGCACCAACACCAGCAGCTTCAACAACACCAACAATGGCTGAAAAGGAACCAGTTAGGTGGCGGTCCTGCCGATTCCAACGTTGACGAGGTTGAGAAGACCGTGCAGTCTGAGGCTGTTGATTCGAGGTTTGTGTTAAATACGCGAAGGAGTTTGTGTTTATTTTTATGCATTATATTGTATGGGCATTTACATAAAATGATTGGATTAATTTCTCTGTATGCTCATACCGGAGGTTGATTTATGATTTTGTAATGGGGTTGCAATTGGATGCTTGGTTTTCTGTCGAAGGGGGCACATGGTTAACTTATTAATTATGGTTGATCCCATTCGCTAAAAGCATCGGGTATGGTAAAAAAATTTGGGTCTCTGCTCCTTGTTTATCTTTCTTTCTGACCCGCCACTTGTGTTGTTTTGCGCATATTTCATGTGACTGAGGATGTTGAGCATACAGATGATCTTATGTTAAGAAACTTTTGTATCTCATCAAAATTCTATTGCCAAGAGGATAGGTTTTGAATTTTGGTAAGTTGTATTGCCTGCCATGCGTAGAAACTGATTATTATCATTTATGCCTTTTCTCTTCCGTGCAGTTCACAAGATTGGAAGGCAAGGCTAAAGATTCCACCACCCGATACACGCTATAGAACAGAGGTATGGTTCTAATGAACTTCTTAAGGCTTTACAACCAGTTTATAAAATATTAATCGCTGCATGCTGATTTATCCCTATGCACAGGCTTGGCAGATAAGTGCTATTATAATATTCTCATTCTTTAGTCTGTTTTCTGTGAATCTCATTCAAATTTGAAATACTCACGGTCTCTGTATAAGACATGCCTAACTTTGTTAGCATCTGGTCGTTTCATTTTCAGGATGTGACAGCTACGAAAGGAAATGAATTCGAGGACTATTTTTTGAAACGTGAATTACTCATGGGAATCTATGAGAAAGGCTTTGAAAGACCATCTCCTATTCAAGAAGAAAGTATTCCAATTGCTTTAACCGGTAGTGATATTCTTGCTAGAGCAAAAAACGGAACTGGAAAGACAGCTGCATTTTGCATTCCTGCCTTGGAAAAGATTGATCAGGATAACAATGTAATCCAAGGTTTGTTTTTTTACCAGTCATTATCAATCTTATATTATTTTTATGAGCAGGTCGATTCTCTAAATTCCAAATCGATGAGATTCCTTCATATTCAATTTCTAATTAGCTCCATTGCCATCCAAACATTCTCAATGTGCTGTAGTTTAATCCAAGTTTTTTCAACAGGCTAGAAATTATACACAACAAAATTCTTGCTGTGTTCTTTCCTTTGACCAGTACATTAATTCTTCCCACTAAATCGGTGCTCGTGTTGAATATCATACTTGAGGTCTTCTGGTGAAAACAATATCTTGTTAATGTGCAAAAAGAAATAAATGTCACTTTCAAGTTGTAAATTCATCAGATAGATTCTATTCTTTCCCAGAATAATAATACCCTTCCACAAGACAAGACTAGCCTCTTGAGTTCTTTGCATCAACCTACTTAGTATTTCCACCCTCACGGCATCTTTGCCTATGGCTTGCCCCACTTTCCTACTGTTATTTTTTCTGACCCAATAATTTATTCCACGACTTTAATTTTAACATGTGTCATATCATTCTTCTACTAAGGCGCTGGGAACGTGTGATTTTCTTTTTATTCATGTTCTCTAAATGCTGCTATGCCATGTTTCTATGGCAATATTGATTCCTATATCATTTTGTTTGGTTCACTCATTTGACATTTGTTTTTCCTTTTTATATGAACAGTTGTTATCCTTGTTCCAACACGAGAGTTGGCTCTTCAGACTTCACAAGTTTGTAAGGAACTCGGGAAGAATTTGAATATTCAAGTTATGGTTACGACAGGTGGTACCAGCTTAAAGGATGATATCATGCGATTATATCAACCAGTTCATTTATTAGTTGGAACTCCTGGAAGAATATTAGATCTTGCAAAAAAGGGTGTTTGTGTACTGAAAGACTGTTCTATGCTTATTATGGATGAGGTAATCACCTGAGATATGAACGACATTATATTCAGTTTCTGGTTATCACAAATTAGTTGCTTTATTGTCAATATCATTTTTGTTTCCGTAGGAATTTGTCCTATAATATTACAGTAGTGGGGTCATGTAATCTAAATGATTTTATGACTATAGATTGATAATTGAACAATGATATTTACGGCAGATATCAATTGCTTTTCCATCCTTATGTACTTGAGAATGATATTGAAAAGGAAGTCATACAACTTAGCAGGATATGTAAACACATTTTAATTTTCAATCGTGAGTTATTGCTTGTAGTACTGATATACCTGGACGACTTTCACTTTTGTTTGTGATTATTTTCTCTCCCTGCCTTTGTCACCCTCCCATCCGTATGCTTAAGCATTATCCTGTATGTTATACGTGTTGCATAGTTGTGTGAACTGTCTAATTTTATGTTCTTGTTTCCTTACCAAGTTCCCATTTTCCCCAAAGAGGTAGTGCATGGGTTCCTATTACTGAAAGAAAGACTTCAAATTCTGGGGTAAATTTAAATCTTTGGGTTAGTTCTAGCAGTTATGGTTACCACATTCAGAAAAGTATACCGGTTGCTTTAATTTATCTTAACTCATTAATTTAGGTTTTTAGTTTGAGGAGTAAGTTAACATGATAAAAAATAATGAAAACCATTTCAAACTTCTATGATTGTACGTATCCTATTTTATATTTAACCATTTTCTTGGGTCACATGCTCTTGGGTTTAGTATCGATTAATAATATAGTATTGGGAGGTACTGTGTTGTTAACTCATTGCGAAAAGCTAACCTTTTGTTGTTCTGTTTCTCAGGCTGACAAGCTCTTGTCTCCAGAGTTCCAACCTTCAATAGAGCATTTGATTCGCTTTTTGCCTTCAAATCGGCAGATTCTTATGTATTCCGCTACCTTTCCTGTTACTGTGAAGGACTTCAAAGATAGATATCTTCACAAGCCCTATATTATAAACTTAATGGATGAGCTCACTTTGAAGGGTATCACCCAATTCTATGCATTTGTTGAAGAAAGACAAAAAGTTCACTGCCTTAATACTCTTTTCTCTAAGGTTTGATTCCGAGGAAGCTAATTCTTTTTCTTGGTTTTCTTCCCTAGATTCTCTTTTCCTTTGTAAATCACAAAGTTAATGTTTCTATCTGCAGCTGCAAATTAACCAGTCGATTATCTTCTGCAATTCCGTAAATCGAGTCGAGTTGTTAGCCAAGAAAATAACGGAACTTGGTTATTCTTGTTTCTATATTCATGCAAAGATGCTGCAAGATCATCGTAATAGAGTATTTCATGACTTCCGAAATGGTGCATGTAGAAATCTTGTTTGTACTGGTATGTTATTTCTCGGTGCATAATTATTCATGCGTACATAAGCTTGATAAGGATGCCTCTATCTATCTATTTGTTTATTTGTTGAAAGTTAAACCATCCTTTCTTTACTGCATCTTGTTTACTCTACATATTTCTTCTCCCTTCTTGAATAAGCATGTCTTTTACCCAGTATGTCAAAAGAAAATCCGTGAAACTATCCCACTTTTCCTGAACTAATTTCTTATAATGTGGGATGCAATTGCAGATTTATTTACAAGAGGAATTGACATTCA